TCACTGAACACAGAAGTGAAGAAGAGTGCCGGGAAGGACGAAAGGCAACTCTGCGACACACTGACAACTGAAGCCTGCAGACAGGCAGACTGCAGGATATTATATCAGATAACCAGGTGTCTATCCGGGAAGAGATGAACACAAGTGAAACGTATATAAAATGGTCAAGGGAAGCTAATTACCACGGAGGAGAAACAAACAAAACAATGGGCTGGTCACTTCAAAGGACTCTTGAATCGACCATCACCTGCAACTCGCCCAGAAATACCACCATTGACAGCTCGAACAGAACTGCGAGTGTACACCAATCCTCCAACGAAAGCAGAAATCCCAAATGTGATCAAGCTACTGAAGTCTGGAAAGGTAGCAGGACCAGATGGAATTCCGCCTCCCGAAGCACTGAAAACGGATCCAGAGACTGTGGCAGATGTGATCACGCCATTATTGCAAAAGGTTTTGAAGGAAGGAAAGGTGCCAACAGACTGGAAGAAAGGTTACCTCGTCAAGCTGCCAAAGAAGAGCGACTTAGGCCTCTGCAAGAACTGGCGTGGAATAATGCTGTTGTCCATGCCAAGTAAAATACTAAGTCGCATTACCCTGGAGAGAATAAAAGATGCACTGGATACAGAACTCCTCTCACAGGAACAAGCTGGATTCAGGAAAGACAAATCATGTGCTGATCAAATTGCAACTCTACACATCGTCACGGAAAAAAGCATAGAATGACAGTCAAACTTCTACCTCAATTCTATCGATTTTGAAAAGGTCTCCAACAGTGTTGACCGCAAGAATACTTATAAACTACTTCAGCACCACAGAGGCAAGTGTCCCAAATCTTTATTAACCTCACTCAACAGGTATGTGACAGGGCTACGTATCAAGTGATCCACGACAGAGATACTCAGCTAGGCGTTCGAAGTGAATAGAGGAGTGAGACAAGGCTGCCTGCCTACTATCACCGATGATATTCCTAACTGGGATGGACTGGGTTATGCGTCTGACGGTGTGTTGGGAGCGAGAAAACAGGCACATAGTGGACCGAAAAGAAGACTGTAGAAGGGCTGGATTTCCTAGATAATTTATGTCTAATGTCACACAAACTCGAAGATTTACGGGTGAAAACTGAAAAGCTGAGTGAAAAGGCAGACAGCGAAGACGGGACTTTAAGCGGACATAGAGAAGGTGGAGGTGATGTAGATAATCAACCAGCCAACAATAACAACGAGCACAAATCACCATCGATGAGAGAAATTTGACAGAGGTTACTTCCTTGTCTACACAGGATCGTTTCAAATGTCGAAGTGCGGAACGTATGAAGATATCAAAGTCAGCCAAAGTCGGAAAGGCAAGAGATATCTCTGCACCCCACGTAAAGAACGAAATTCGGATCTTCAACACCAATATCAAGACAGTTCCGCTATATGGGTCAGAAACTTGCCACATCAAGAAGAGTGTTTCCAGCAGCCTGCTACAGACTTTTATCAGAAGCTGCCTTCACTGGCTCCATGGTGGAGATTAGACGACCGGAAAGAATTGGCAACAAGAAACTCTGGGAAAAAACCAACCAAGTACCTATTGCCCAACAAATATGTGGTTGAAAATGAAGAGGTATTGAGCATACGCCGAGGAAACCGTTGAACTACACAGAGTGACAGGCAGATCCTCTAGTGGGACACGAATGGTAAACGACAAGTGGGTCGTCCGAGGGTGACTTGGAGGAGATGAGAGATTATGGGCAAATGTGTGGACAGCTAAAGAAGACCGCGCAAAACAGGACAAAGTGAAGAGGTGTTGTTGAAGTCCTATGTTCCACTCCGAACCCAAGGTAACAATAATATAATAAGAATAAACTGGTAAGAAGTATTGAACTGTATTATATTTCTCTGTTACCAAAATAAAATCATCGGTATGGGACGATATTACTCCGTAGAGAATAATCACAATAGGAGCTAATTTTTAACTTCTTCCAATGAAGCAACATTCATTGAAAAAATTAATATTTCAAGTCTAAATCGTCCAGCTAGTTGGCTATTTCTGCATTAAAACAAAGCATTCATTACACACAAAGGGTGTTATGCAGAAGATAATGAAAAATCAAATGTAGTTAAGAGTAATGGTCATCAAACAATTAATCAGACTTTTTCAATTAGTCATTGATTAAATAATAGACGATTGCGTTATGTATCCCTGTTTTCATATTTTCACTAATGTGTTTGAAGGCAGGGTTCACTTCTGGTTCCTTTTTAATTTTGAACAGCAAAAGTTTGTATAAAATCAAATATTTTACTAAATATCTACTTAACATTTGCACTTATTCATGTAAAATTCTTTTGTTTGTTTAATTTTTATATCTCCGCATATGTTTATCAATTAGAGCATTGAATATAGAATGTAGTTGATAAGTGGTAAAATTTCGGATAGTAGTTTATTGAATTCCAGTGGACAAATTATTTATTTTAAATTCAATTGTGATTTTCCTGTTGATTGATTAGGCCGAACTGTTCGGGGTCCATTGACATGTTGGCTCAGCATGTGGGAATCAGAGAAGTCCCGTCGGGCCAGTGTAAGTCATTGATTATCCCCATATATAAGAAGGGAGACAAATCTTCCTGTGATAATCACAGGGGGATTAACTTGACTAATATGGTATCTAAAGTTCTAGGCTCAATTATAATGCGTAGACTAAGTGTTGCTGGGAAGGCAAAAACACGACAGAACCAGGCAGGCTTTAAACCAGGAAGAGGGTGTACTGTTCATATCTCCACACTTCGACAGATTCTGGAACAGGCATACTTACCGTCAGCATCCAACAATCGATATATTTCTTGACCTAAAGGCGGAATTCGATTCTGCCGCCTGAGAGGTATTCTGGCGATGTTTGGCTGTAAAGGGAATGCTGAGAAAATGCATTGCACTGATCAAGGCACTATACTCGAACTCATGTAGCCAGATGAGAGCTTACAGCGAGTTGTCGTCTGGAGTGGTGACGACTAGTGGCGTCCATAAAGGATGCCCATTATCCCCATTTCTATTTAATTTCATCATAGATGTACTAATGGACTTAATCCTAACTCACTTCAGAGACCCACGGATTGACTTGTTGCCATCATGGAATAATCTCGTTGACTTAGAATATGCACATGATATAGTCCTCCCATCTGGGTGAAGATGCTGACAAAATGCAATCTTCTAAACGCCTTGAACTGCAGTTTGCAAATGCTTGGTATGCGATCCGCTCCCGCTAAATGATGCTACAGGACTGGACTAAATTGACTCCAAGCTTAGAAATAGAGAGTGAAATGGTGATTGAGCGTGTTGACCACTTCACTTATTTAGGAGGTTGCATCAGCCAACGCCAACATGTTGATTGCCAATGAAATCTCAGCACGGATACAGAAGGATAGTTTCACATATGCCAGTTTACACCGTCTCTGGCGTAGACGTGATATCCAGATAGCTGGCTATCGACCAAAGGCCGTGTGTACTGCACATCAGTCCGCTCCATCCTCCTTTATGGCAGTGAGTGAAACCTGGCCATTGAGAGTGATAGACATGAAAAGTCTAGCTAGCTGTCTTTGATCATAGGTGTCTGCGTTCTGTACCCCGCGTTAAGTGGTATATTAGGGTAAGCGATATTGAGGTTAGGCTTCAGTCGAGTGCTAGGTAAGGAGGGGAAATCAATAGACGAGGTTGTGAAGTTACATCGAATAAGATGGTTAGGAAATGTGTTGCACATGCCTAGCCATCTATCGCCTTCCTCGATGGGCAATGTTGCTGACATGGGACGGTCAGGTTGAAAAAGAGCTAGTGGTGGTCAGACGAAAACATTTCATCAGTCAATGAAATCCACAACAGTTAGTTCAAGCCACGTAGGAAGGTGTAGACTGTCAGCGTGGTTGGGGTCCTCAGGATGGGAGAAACCAATGGCTGGAGACAAGTGGTGATATGGCTCAAAATCGTTCTCAGTGGCGCAAATGCATTCACTCTTTGTGATTTATCATATCCGATAAAACTATATTGTTCTTCCATATTACTATTCCTTTTGTCTCATATCTCTGTTTACTGTCTCTATTTTGCATTTCTTTTTACTTTCTTCTTCCTCTCTAGCTTTGTGTGCTGAGTGAAGTGTGGCGTCTCGAACTGCTGCACATCGGTGCAAAGTTCCAGATCGAAACTAGTCAGTCAGTCACATGTTGGTTCCTGGCACAGACGCTTCAAAGTTGTCTAAGGATTTACTTGAAGAAATTTGGTGGACAGTGATTGACAGTGGGATACAGAATGTTCATTTCGTCCTATTTAGGACTCTTCAGCTTGATGTACTTATATTCCTAGTGTGTGACGGTGTTTCCATTGAGACTCGAACCCAGTTCCCATTGTCTTTTAAACACCAAAGAGTTATCCACCAGACCATCAGTCACTGGAAAGGCAGGTACATCTAGATGACGAGTCCCGAATTGGACAAAATACACATCCTGGATTCCACTACTTGCAATACGCACCAAATCACTTCAATGAAGATATTTATTTTCACAGACACTAGAAACTAAAAAGAAGTATTTGGCAATAAGTGATGATAATTAAATTTTTCCTCCTTGTTGTTTGATAGTTTTCTACGCGAAGTAATGGGGTGAGTCTATTGTAACAACACATAAGACAACTCTGACAACAAAGTCTTACTTGATATGAGGACATATTTGATCGAATATTGAAATGTAAGGGACAGTTTATTCAAAATCCATTTAAATGTCTTAAGTGTTATACAACAGTTTTTAAACTATGGAATGGGTTACACAATGGTAGTGGGCAAGTCGTCATAAAGTGGGACACTTACAATGATCTCACGACCTGAAAATTGGCCTATCACTACATCTTCGTATCTCAGTAATTAAATACCTTCAGAATCACAACACATTAATGAAAAATGACTACTGATAATAAATAGGTTTTGCAGAAAAAGGTTTCAAGTCGTTTTATATTTAACTATCATTCTTCACGTTTACCTTTAGAACTTGATATCCTGGAGCTTCATTAATCGATAAAGTGTAAATCATATCTTCTTGAAGTGGACTAATGAAAGTCGGTGCTTCATCATTCACATCAATGATATTGATATAAATCAAAACAGTTGAAATTCTCTTTGGCATTCCAGAATCTTCTGCTGTCAACAGTAACTTAAACCGTGACAATTCTTCCACTTCTTCAGAGTTCATGTTCCCATAATCATTATATTCCAATGCTACTTTTAATTTACGCTGATTTAAACGAATAATCTCTTCACGATCAATTTCGCCATTTGTAAATAAATTCAATTCATAGGTATGTTGATCATTTAATCGTTTCGATGTTAATTTAAATGGTGGCAAACTTTTCTGTTGTTTATATAAAGGAAATCCTAATTCATATTGTTGATGGTATCTATCATCATAATCAGTATTCATATAGGTAATATCTGCTTCATCATTATAATCCAGATGAAATGACAACTCACTATTCACATCGCTATCTTTATCATGAACAATTATAGTGTCAATATAATAACCTTGTACAGGATTTTCAACAATTGAAAACTCATATATTCTTTTATTAAACTCCGGATATTCATCATTATAATCTTCAACAGTAATATAAACACTGACTGATGCTGATCTACTCGGCTCACCGAGATCTTTAGCAATCACAGTAAAACTGAATGAAGTATTCATTTCTCTATCCAACTGACCATTTGTCTTGATTACTCCTGTAGTTTCATTCATTATCATGATGTTTTGAACAGATTCCTCAAAAAAAGAATAAGAGATTTCTGCATTTCCCATAGTATCCTTGTCAGTAGCATTTACTTTCACTACATAATAATTATTTTGTCTTCTTAATGGATCACTGTCTTCCATAAGTTTAATATATACATCCGTGTGTGAAAAGATCGGAGCATTATCATTAATATCTGTGATATATATCTGTGCAACATATTCAGTAGTTAACGGATCACTGCCTTGATCTATACATCTAATCATTGGGTACACTGTAGCATTCTGTTCACGATCAAACGGTACCAAAGCTGATATCTTATAGATGATGATGAAATCGTTCGACTGTAAATCAGTTAATTCGCTATTGTCATTATTCTCATTTGTCAGTTGATCAGTACTTGACTCATCGATGTCTATCAATGTTAGCTGGAACAATGATGAGGAATTTCTATCCAGTTCACACTTCACCTCACCATTACGTCCACTGTCATCGTCCGTAACACTGACTAAGGCAAAATCTACTGGGAGATTTTCACTAGGTAAATGTTCTTGTATCATTAGTATATGACTACCATTCGGTGTATATACAGCAATAACAGGTTTATGATTATTAACATCAATGACTTCTATAAATAATTCCATGGTATCATATAATAAATTATTTATCAAATTAGAATCAGTATTACTTAATAGTGATTTATAGTAGTAATGTCTTCCAGAATATTGATTTAGATCATTACTGTTGTTGTTGTTATCATTATTAGTATTCAGAGAGTTATTAACAATCTCCTCCAATCTCGGATTTCTTACAGTAAGTAAAATTTTAAATTTCGATCTTTCTTTGTAATCCAATGTTTGTTTTAAAAATACAGAACCATTATGCGAGTTAACATAAAAATTTGAAAAGATATAAGGAGAATTCATAGAGTTCAACTCGAATATTAATTGACTGTATATTGGTCCTGCATCTAAATCACGTGCTTTAGGTGTATAAATTGGTGTGTACTTTTCAGTATTTTCCATAATAGACAGGTATGCAGTTCTTTCAAGAAATGTTGGAGCATGATCATTCACATCGATAACATGTACTGTTATATCTAAAAAACACTGATCATTTTCTGTATTTATTTTTAAGTCTTTTTCATATTCCGATTTATTGTTTATATTGTCAACAATAGATGGTATCGTGGGTGCTAAACTACTGGCGGCAACAGTCATTTTAAAATTTTGAACTTTTTCATAATCTAATGGTTGTTTAATCAGAAGGTTAATTAAATACGGAGCAACCGGTGAACTTGTATTCGATATCATTAAATCGAAAATTTCATCCATTGAAACATTGGACAACTGATCGAATTTCAACTGAATGCTAGATAGATGAATTCCATTTCTAGGACCTGTATCTAAATCAATTAACTGATTAACAGGTACTTTGATTACATCTGTTTGATCGAATAAATTCTCCACCACATAAATATCTTGTTTATTTGTTGGCAGGAATTGGCATACATTGTCATTAACATCTTTAATTTCAATAATTACATGTATCATGTCGACTATGTCAACACCGGAATTCAAAACACGCAAAATATTGACATTGAATGTGATCTGGCATAAAAAATCAAGGCTTTGCAGAATATCATAACTACTAGAAGTAGGATACATTGTTGCTGTTTTTGGACAAATGCTTTCTCGGTCTAATCGTTGATTAATTCGTATTAGGCCAGTTGTTACATTTACGGAAAAGTATTTTGAATATTCACTAGTAATGACACGGAAACGTAATTGGCTAACATTATTTTTTAATGAATTAGGCAGTTTAGTTATCAAGTTACCGATGATTGTATTGTTCGGAGATTCTTCCAGTACTATCATTCGAGTGGTTAATAAAAGAGATACTAACTTTATACATGTAAATAAGAAAATGACAAAAGAATATACAATCATGCTTTAGTTTCTTTGGGAATTTCTTTCACTCATTTTCTGAATTAATGCAGTTGGACAGCTGAAAAAGAAACATAGTAGTACACAATCTAAACATTGTAGTAAAGGAGACAATAAAAGCATTTTTTATCAAAAAACGTTATTGGTTGACAGTAATAATTCTGTAAACAGTCAGAATATTAATTGGATAAATGCAAAATCTTTAACTCTGACATTAAACAATATAGGTTCCAATTTCAGACGAAATATGAGTTCTTTTCAAGGTAATATGTATTACTTGTTGATGAATATCAACAAACAGAAAGGCTAAGCCTTCTAAGTTCGAACTGCAATGCACTGTTATTGTACAGTACTGTCATTTCTCTTAGTTTAACTAACTCACTGCACACTTAGATATAGACTTTGACCAACACTCAGAACCAAATAAGTACTTTTTTTATTATAGCTTGAAACCACACAGTATTTTTGGTACAAGTATGGAAATTTCAGCATATGATATCGGTAGCCCAAATTTTGGCAGGCCGACCACAGATATCAGTTGTGCGTCGGCAGGGGATCGAACCCCGGACCATATGCATGGTCAGCGAGAGTCCTAACCACTGTGCCACCGACGCACCGACGTTAACTACTATCGAGGTATAGACTTTTGGGCATAAGGCGTAGCCTATTTGGTTACTGCTAAAGTTTTCTAACCCTGGTACTGATGGTATACGAGATGGCAACTTCTTAGAAGTTGCACGCATACCGTGTTGATCCTTGTCGAAAAGTAAAAAAGGATAATTCACACAGGGCTGCTGGCCAGCCTTTCCTAAGCATAAGTTCCACTGTTACAAAGCAGTGAGATACGCCCATACAGAACTGTGTAATTGCATATTTTGTTTGAACTGCTTAGTTACACTGTATGTTGTTAATTTGATGTTGTTATTTAAAGTTAGTTTTACAGATATGTTTTTGAAAAGTTTACGTACTTAAAGAATTAAAGAAAAAGGAAAATTTTATAGCAATTGATGGAATATGGAAATAGGAACGAAGAGAGCTCTACTGTGCTTCAGTTTTTAATATAAATTATTTCTATTCACGGTGTTAGCATAAATCAATCAATATTTGCATTGATGGGATGGTTGACTGGATTTTAATCGTCAAGTTTCGCAATGTGGTTATTAAGACTGTAGATTAATCACCTTAGTGAAACTTCACGTGATGTCAGATGGTTCCGAGCAATCATCAGAAGGCCTAGGATCTAGGTTTTGCGCTTATCGGCAGTCACTAAGATGGCGTATCCACAGTCTCAAAGGAAATGGTGTCGCTTTGTAAATCTGAACCTTCATCACACGTAGTTGCAGTCACAAGTTTTACTTCTAATAAGTTCCAATAAGCACAAACCTTCGGTGCAGGGCTTCTCATCCATTCAAAATAATTGATTTTTGTCCAATTACTCTAGTGAACCACGTAAATAACTTTAGACTGTTGTCACTAATCTACCCTTGTCCTTTGTTACATATTCTATGAACTTGTTACTTTTGTTTCAAGTATCTGAATCTCGTAAGCGATTTGCAGTAGTTCAACAGAAGAATTACTAAGCGTGAATACAAATCGTTCAACTGACGAGCGATTGGCATATCAACACTAGCCTTTTTGAATTATCTAGCTAGTTCTGGTGTTGTGCTCCATCTTAAATAAGCGATGAAAGGTACAAGCTCTCTATGACTCTACGAGATTCCTCGTAAATATTCGGTGGTAATCAGGAAGGAGTCTTCGCATCTGGTCTTTTGTTTCGTCGGCATCATCATTAGTTGTGTGTTTGTGTAATCATCAAGGAATTAATACTATTATAGAACGAACCCATGACAATGTACAATTTTACATCTTATTTTGATGACTCAATAGTTTGACCACTGTGTTCATCACAACATCCTGCTGACTACGGATAAGCGTAATAGTATCTTCGCAAAAGGCAAGTTGAAGTTACTAGTTGAAATAAAGACAACCCGTCAAATTTGCTAATGTTATTTAGTAACATTGAAATTTTTTTGTTTAAGCTTTCAAATTATTTGTTTTTAACGTTGACTGGAATAGTAGCAGAAAATAATTTAATTGGTAACTAATAGTTTGTTATTTGTAGATAATTTAAATTCTTTTGTTTTCATTGAACTTTGAAATTACTTGTTTGAATAGAATTTAATTGATACGTTCATGTATAATTCTTGTGTTAATTATATACACTAGGTTTTATCTTATTTTATTGAAGAGATGAAGCGAAGAGTTTATTCTGAAAATAGCACTTATTTTAAAAGTAGTAATATTAGTAGTTCTGGACATTCTAGCTTCATCTGACACACTGAGCTCCCTAAATTTGGATGTACTAGTGATTTGTATAACTTATATATATATATATATATATATATATATATATATATGATTGTTAATTATAAAACCAATGGCTTTTATAAACGGAA